GGGGGAAAAGGTGAAAGTGGCCAATCAGAAAAAAAGTTAGCAGGGACAGAAAAAAATAGGTTAGGGAATGACAGCAGTATAAGAATGGTTCCGCAGGGCCATACACGTTTATGAAGAGTGTACTCTGCCCCTACCCTTCCAGGCCAAGCCCCCGGTTGAACTCGCGACATGATAGTTTCTTTTTTAGTTCTTTTGTTATTGCGCGGCCTTCGGCATCTCAACAGGCCACCTTTACAGCAATGAAAAGCCAGCTTAGCTTCTGCGGTAGACACGCGCAAAATGATTGTGTACGACCCCTATGCATGCCACGTCATTGGCAGAGCTTCCTTACGTAGCGTGGAGTTTCTTCAGTGAATAACTACTTCAATGTGCGATGGCGCCATCTGGCGAATGGAAATTTAAATAATCATTTGGGAACGCTGGTAAGCATGTGATATGGGTGGAGGCGAAAATGTCTATGGCGAACACGCAAGCACAGGCTTTCCCAGCCACCTTGAAGATCATGATTTCTATATCAAATCTATCTCGAATTTCTTTTCCGCTCTTTAAAATGGTGTCGAAAGGAATGACAGCCTTGACATCGAAACAGCACTGCCACCTACTATCTGCTTATTTCCGGATTCGTGTTTTCCTTCTTAGCCAACATTACACGTTCACACTAATCTTCATGAATCTATCTATTTATCGATCTATCGATCTATCTATGTATCGATCTATCTATGTATCGATCTATGTATTGATCTACCTATCTAACGATCTGTCTGTCTGTCTGTCTGTCTGTCTGTCTGTCTGTCTGTCTGTCTGTCTGTCTGTCTGTCTGTCTGTCTATCTATCTATCTGTCTATCTATCTATCTATCTTGCTGGCTACGTTCGGGTGCTCTCATGATCATCCCATTAACCTGGGGTAAATTAGTACGGGAGGGCAGAATGGTCTGTCGAATACGACTCGCTGTTCATGACATAAATAATGTCACAATCTCATCGCGCACGTCGTCAAACACTTTCGGCCAGACAGTGGCACAATCGCGGACGGGTATGTGCCACAGGTGATTAACCCAGGAACGGCGAGAACACACACGTGTAATTTCAACGCGTCAGCGTAAAGAAAAAGCTGACATCGATAACGTTTGACCACGAACAAACGCAAACAATAAACGTGAGGGTCGCAGCAAAAATTAAACCCCAGCATTCTGCGTGGCAACGAAGTATTCTTCTACAGAGCCACACCAGGCCTCGAATATACATTCCCAGTAGACCCTAATCATTGTGTAACGTCAATCGTGGTTGCAGTACTGGTTACCCAATTTTATGATACTTACCTATGTACTCGTCTAGTTACAGCCGTCCTGTCGAGTTAACGTGAATCATATTCAGGCGCCGTCCACTGAGTTTACTTGTGTAGCACAGTTGATTCCTACCGTCCTCGCGCGAACCAGCGAAAACACCCGCGCTTCATATCAGCTTACCGCTCCTGGTGTTGCTGATATCCATGTTGCTGTTGACATGGTTACTCAACTGTAAACAACTGATAATATAAAACATATGCGGCTGTTTCGCGTATACGTGTGCGTGGACTTGTACATATATTTAGCGCCACTTCATAACATCTCGCTCAATAAAAACACAAAGCACATTCACCTTTCATCCGCATGCCTTGCATAGCATCGATTCCGAAGGTACGTGGGACCTGCCGAGTCTTTAGGTGCGCTCGCTGGCATCTTTTCCAATGTTAAACTGCAAGGTGTTGGCTATGACAACCCTAGCGTTGCAATAGAAGTGCGTTCGGAAGCCTTGGCACGGAAGGACGGTACAGTAGCGATGTGTGCCGATTTCCCCCTAAGCAATAGGACACAGGATTAAATGCTTAAGCTCGTCAGGCTCGCTCTTGCGACGTCTTCATGGTGTAATGTCCGAATAGGCTACGATAGCGGGACGATTTATGCGGTTCACTGGTGAGCCGAGTGTGGAGCCAAGTTTATAGTAGTCTCATATGATTGCTCTAGCAGAACCATAGACATGTCCTCTCTAGCTGCCGGATGGCGGATGGTCAAAGCGAGGCAAGTAGCTCAGAGCATTGCCCTGCGCCAGGTTGTTGTTCTTTTCGTAGGTGTCTTCATCGAAAGAACTGTTGCGTTCCTTCTGTCTTCCACGGTCAAAACGCTCTTGAGCGGGCTTTTGCACTCGACGGACCGCACATGATTTCTTGCGCGCCGCTGCCTTTGCTTCTGGCTATGCCTGTGCACCGCCGTCTTAGATTGGCGGCTTTTGCACACCTTCGCGCCCTTGGAAATGGCCTTTATGGGGCGCCCCTTGTTCTTTATCATACTTAAGGGTGACGTGCTTAGCGTGGATCTCAACGAAGCAATCCTAGTCGTGGCAGTCGCGCAAAGAGCGGCCGGTCCAGGACAACTGCAAGTTCGGTGTGACTACCATGCTGCCACTGATGACGATGACACGTGCTGCCATGACAGGCGTCTACTTTCTCCACCGGCGTCTCAGCCCCTTTTAAGTCCCCGCTGCCAGCGACGGCCTCGTCAACCTGATGACGCTTATTTCCCTTGGAGGTGCCTAGGTCCAGTGCAAATAGGTGTTCTTGTCCAACGTTCCTGAATGCGTCCCATCGATCCAGATGGCGTCGAGACGCGACGTTGAGCGTACGTCGATGTCCGCAGTGGACCCATGACTCGAGGCGAACAGTGCGCAAGACAGCTAGCAAATGTCGGACTTAATATGGCATTGCACGATCCATCTAAAAGTAGTTTCGATTGCTGTTATACTTCTGCTGATGACATTTATTTTCCCAGTGGCAACTTGCCAAAAGCTGCCATACGCAGCGTTGACCGGACGATTGCAAACGATACATGTCATTGTTCAAGCACGAATCGAACCCTAGCATTCTGCGTGGCAATGAAGTATTCTAGCACAGCCACTTCAGGCCTCGGATACACTTTTCAAATACACCCTAATGTTCTCATTCACTAAGGGCTTTGGCTGAGAAGCCGGCTAATAAGGCAAGTGAACGATTTAGGACTATGCAGGCTAAAAAAATGGCTACCTTCTTTTTGACTGGAGCGGGTAGTTTTGGGACAATGAGGAAACGAAATAGAAGAAAAAGAATATATATATATATATATATATATATATATATATATATATATATATATATATATATATATATATATATATATATATATTGAAATAGCCTGAAATTATTCATAAAGCATAATTATTCTGTAGGTTGAATCAATGCAGTGCAATAATGAAATACTAAATTTAAGCTTGGTTAATAAAAAGAGTTCATCAATGGCTCATCAAGATAATCCCCTTGTGTCACACATAAATTCGCAGAGGGCCCCGCAGACGTTCCTGTTGCGAAATTCCAATGAGGCAGTCCCAGAGGACCAGATATTCAGAGTACTACGCAAAATTCTAAGTTTTTTTTAATAAGATTTTGGTTTTCTTTTGATTCCTTAAAACGGAGGCATGTTAGAAGACAATGGTCGATATTTTAGGGTTCGTCACAGCTAGAGCACAAAGGGAATGCCACCAGACCAGACCTGACCTCTTTAAGTAGAAATTAAGAGGCGGTGTATGGAATCGCAATTTTGTTACGGAGACTTCCAATTTAGGTGTAGGACACCATTTATTATTCTATGCGAATCTCAAGTGTGAGAATTCATGATTCAGTATAGCAATCTTTATTGAGTCCTCAAGAAGGGAAATATTTCTGAACCTCACCGCTCTCATTTAAGCTGTAAGGTGCCTTATTGGCTGAGGACCATGAAGGGATGCTCGCCGAGCGAGTCAGCAGCCATCTCATTTATAAGTATATCATGGTGACCTGACCTGACGCCCATATCAATCGCACTATACGAACATTTGCTGGGATCAGTGATTTAAATGTATTTAGTACTGCTGATTCCGACGATGACGATGCCACCCAAGTTTCTGCTTCTTCGAGCGAGTGTGACACGTTCCAAATTACTCCGTTATTATTTTGCAAATCCATGCTCAATTTATAAATATCAAAGTTTCGTCTAATGTCCTTACTGAACAAAATATTTCCTGTCTTTTTTTTAATATGATGCGCACAATCAACTCATTTGTTAGGAGACCGAGTGACGCTGCAAACTTCGCAAAAGACTGGTGCAAGTGATTAGTGTGTATCTGAACTCTTTCTCAGTGATTGCAAACACGGGCTGATATTATCTCCTAAAAGAAATATGTCAGTCACTAATGTACATTTTATTTACATATCGCATATGTAGACCTAATTCAGAACAAACGGTGTCATCCAAGCAGGTTCGGTCTCTTCAAAAATTTAAGCTCTATCTCAAGGCCAACTGGTGTGCGCATCACAAGGACACAGAAAAAGAGGTACAGGGACAAGCGCTTGTCCCTGTCCCATCTTTTCTGTGTTCTTGTCTTGCACACACCAGCTTACCTTGAAATATGAACCAAGTCACCCAGCTGCAAGTTCTACTAAGCTCTACCTACTGCACTATTACCTTCGTTTACTCTGTAACGAAGGTACTGGCACAATAGATCTTCAAACGCCAAACGTTGCGCTATTATTACAAGCAAAGCATGATTATAGCTGTAGGCGTGCGCACAGGGGCATGGGAGCTGAGGGGGCAAGCAGGAGGTATAAAGCCAGCCCTATATATGAACAAACATATTAGGGGGGGGGGCTGTGATTTGAGGGGCACAAGGTCCGCCCCATACAGCGACATAATCGGGACGGGCGCGCGTTGCGACGAACCTTCGCCCCCCCCCCCCCCCCCCCCCCCCCGAAAAAAGAAACCCTGCGCGCCTATGACAATAGCAATACAACTCACGCAAGTATCGTGAACAATGTGCGGGAGGTGTACCAGTCTATGTAGGGTCACGTGTAAGTGTTGGCCTTTGTATGGCCGCAATACGTCAACTCGAAACCTCACCATTCATGTAACCGCACGTAGAGTATTATCCAATAGCCTTATCATCACAAAAACATTTCTCGAAGAATAGATAAACGATTTACGTCCTCAATGTACCCTGTCATGAAGATTTACATCAATAACGCAAAAGACTGCAGATGGGTCTTCTCTTCAGCAAACATTTGAGAGTTACAACGTCATGAACTTTTCTTCTTCCGGCCTCTACTACAGTATGCAAATTCTTCTGAACCACGCGACAAGAACTATGCGATCATCCTTTCACATGAATTTTTTGGGTAGCGACGCAGCATGCGCGAGACATCTTGGTTTCAGTTTCCAAATAGAATAATACTTAATACACAACACAACAATAAATGTGAAAATCTCAGAAATCGTTTTGATGAGACAGCCCCAAAGAGTGCTACTGGCAGCTATACATTTCACCATGCGCTAAAAACAAGCTTATTTACACTGCCACCAAGCTTCGCCACGTGTGGGGAGTAACACGTCAAGTGATTCTTTTACGGCAGGTACTTCCGTGGTGTGCACACGCAGTTTGGTCGGGACGACAAAATACACGCTCTGTATAGAAAGTTTTACATGTGCATAAAAGTCGCATTCTGCCTCCCTCCTATCACAAGAGCACTAGGGCAATGATTTCAGTTTTGAGATTTCAGATTTTAAAGGTATGTGAGAGAAAAAAAACCGGCACAAAAATAACAAAAGAACAACACATGGCCATCGCGGCACGACAATACTCACAGGTACTATTTGAACTTTTTGACTGAAAGAGTGCGCAAGAAAGGTGCGAAAATACGCTCCAGTCCAGAGCGTTATTCCTCTACAACTCCTTCTTCGCCTCCGCGTTGCCACCATTAGAGTGGTGGCTGTCTCCATTTTGGCTGTGTACTTCAGGAGCCGGTATCTTGGGAGGACCTCCGGACGACCGGCTCAGGTATGCCTGGACGTAGAAGTTCAAGAAGAGACCCAGAATAAGGATGACTTGCGGGATTCCAATGCAGAGCAACACGACCGGATATCCGCAATCCACGAAGATGGGTATGGAAGCGTGAACGATCATTACAAAGAACTGGACGATTTGGATCCTGGTCAGGTACCTCTTCCACCACAAGTACTTCTGGATGGAGGGACCCAGCGAAGCGAGAAAGTAGTAGACGTACATGATGATGTGCACGAACGCGTTGAGGCAGACACCGAACACAGCCTGTCCGTCAGGGCCGAACTGCAGAAACATCCAGCCGTTGAACACGACTATGGTGTGGTGGGTAACGTGAAGCACCGATATGTGGGAGAACTTTTTGGTCAGCACAAAAAACAGCGTGTCCAGGAAGTCAGCCACCCGCACGAAGAAGTACCAATAGTAGGCATTAAGGAGATGCCGGGCGTTCTCGTCCGCTTTGTACGTCAGTCCCTGGCAAAACATGCTGTATCCGGCCGCCCAGAAGGAGTAGTAGATGATCCTATACAAGAAGTAGATGTTTGACAGCACTTGAAGCAGGTTATAAATCCGTATGAATCCCTTCAGGTCGTATGGCTTGCGGTGCTTCATAAAGTTTGGCCCCCACACCTTGGCCATGTACAGGTACCCTCCCAACAAGATGACGATGAAGCTGGGACTGTGCAGCATCTTCCAATCCTTGGTGCGTGGATCCCTGATGGTCATCAGCTGGTGTATGGTGTGCATCACAATGCCTTGCTCCATGATGGCTGGTTCTCTCGTAGAGGCTCCCCGTCTAGTTGTTACAGACTTATGAGAACTACCGCAGACACATGTGTTCATCTAGCAAAGGAAAGCTGGCTGAGCAACAGTAGATTCATAGTGCGCACTCTTATATGACCACTTGCAATTACAGGAGGAGGGGTTACGCCAGTGACATGCCGACTCGTGCGCCGCACCTAGCAACCAGCCACCGCTGACTTCAAACAAAGGAAAGCCGACGTGAGTAAGGGTGTTTTGTGCGTGTGTGTAGCACGCACGCTTGTCCACGGACGGCACTTTTAGTTTTTGTGTTCCTAGAACATACGCGCACTCGAGGACGACGCTTAACTCGTTTTGCGCCTCGAAGACAATAGGCCTTGCGTACTTTTCTTTTATCTTTCCTCTCGGCGAGACTTAAATTTGCGGACTGCTTAGGTAAATGAAGTGAAAGGGGGAAAGCGTAATAGAGATATATTTTTTTTCTTCAACTTGCAGAGTTGCGTGAACAAGATGGTAATAAAGAGACATCAGTCTTAACGTAACTCTCACCTCCCATGAGGCGCTCGTTCGAGTGTCTCTATTTTGGGTCAGTAACGTTCGAGTGGTGTCTTCTTATTTTGTCGTAGAGCATGGGCTTGTCGAGTAAAAATTCACCTTCCGCGTAGATATTGCGGAGTGCAGAGTCTGTATGAGCCGTTGAAACAGCGTTAACATTACGCCAACGCTACATCCTATTACTTTCAGTGGCTGTAATTCCCAGAGGGATTTTCCCTCACTCCAGTACTGCCTTCCTGTTCCACGATGAAACACTGCGGAGAATATTTGAAATATTTGACTCTCTTAACAAAGGACGGCCGTGGTCTGAAAAAAATGTCTACCCACCCATTATTATCGAAAACGCCTAAATGAACGAACTGATAAACTCCCGCGTCAACGTGAGGTTTTGAAAAACATGACGCGGAACTAGAAGCTTCACGTCATAGAGAGCGTTTCCTTAGCGAGTCATTTGACTCTCCGCCAATTCACACAGCTAAGTTGAAAAAGGTGGACGAGGATCTGATACTCAGTTTTAATGTCATTAAGCTTTAGGCTTGCAATGCGCTTTAGCTCAGTGTCTCTCTGATAACGTCAAAAAGAACGAGTCGCCGTGATAGATTCGAGTAATAAATTCCAGCCCTATTGTTCAAGCTCTTATGCAACGTTACGAAACGAGGGAGTACGTTTAATTCCATGTGAGAACAAAAGTGACCACTGTCGTTTTCTCAAGAAACGCGTCAACATCCTCATTGTCCCAGCAATTCATACTTAGAAACACGGTAAATGTGTCTTAACTAACACAGCTGCAATTTAGCGTCAAACTGCTTGATGGCACTTGTCTAATTCCACCAAAAAAGAAAAAGTCAGGATAACTTGAAGGTTTCCATTCGCGGGGCTTCCTGAATTCTTGTCAGTTTTGTTATAAGTTTGTTTATTTCGTGTTGTTTTTCCTCGTGCTAACGTAAATAAAGCTTTCACGTCGTAAAAGCCACTTTTATGCGGCATTTCCAAGCACGAAAGATGGTCCGTCTGAGCGGAGCAGTGGCTCTGGGGTGCTAGGCTGCTTACCGAAAGGTCGCAGGTTCGATCACGGCGAAATGATAGAGGCCCATGTACTGTGCGATGTCAGTGCACCTTAAGGAACACCAGATGGTCGAAAGTCTTAAAGCTCTCCACTACGGCGTCTCTCATAGTAATATCAAGTTTCTGGGACGTTTAACTCCACATAATAAATCATTATTAAATATGAAACGACACTCTTTCACGAAGAATCCGGGTTCCAGGTCAACTACACACATAAATGAACTTAGTAGATAAGATTCTACCCAAAGTAAGAAGCAAACATTCCCATTTTTATTCCCTAAAGTTACTGAACGTCATCCAGTTAGTAATTATAATCCCCGAGTTTCATGACGCATCACGATGGTTTGAATCTTAACTAAAAGCAACACTGTCTTCAATCGAAATCGCCAAACAGTGAGCCACAGAAAATGCATAAGGGACCCGGCACTGTTGGTGCTAACGAAGAATTGATGTTTTAATAAGCACTGGAACTGTGCGACAAAAAAAAAAAACATCACATTCGGTAAATTATTTATACCGCACATTGAGGCATCGTTAAGGAGCTTTGCGGGTAAACCACGCTTCCTCAATCTATAAATAGGTCGTCTTAGCTCTCTGTTTTTTTTTTTTTTAATGCGAAGCAATTCTTAGTGAAGTTCGGCGACTTTAAGCATCCGTCCGTCCGTCCGTCCGTCCGTCCATCCATCCATCCATCCATCCATCCATCTATCTATCTATCTATCTATCTATCTATCTATCTATCTATCTATCTATCTTTCGCTAGAATCACATACACCAAATTTGGTATTACGCGACGTGAATGGAGGGCAAAGGGACGTGCCTGGTGGAAGAATTATAATCATGTGATGCGTGTCATGTAACAACATGACTACATGTTACGCTTATAATGCGCTTCCGGCCGTCTCACTAGCTTCTATCTATCTATCTATCTATCTATCTATCTATCTATCTATCTATCTATCTATCTATCTATTGAGCCGCCTATGACATTTAGCTCTCCTACCCGTTTCGATAAGGGTATCAATACCAAACTTGTTAAAGCATTGCATGGCTGTATGAAAAACATATTTGACTAGTCATAACATCAAAATCATGACATGTCATGAATGTCATGACTTACTTTTTATGGTCCTGCAGCTCTTGCGGTGGTTTCGTTCACATGACATGTTGCAAAACTGGTATGGTATGGCACGATTTCATGGCAAACACAAGCGACAGACCCAAACATGAAAATCATGACATCCATGTCACGTAACAACATGACTACATGCCACGCTCATGATGCTCTCGCGGCCGTTTCGCTAGTGTCACATGTACCAAATTTGGTATTACAGCACGTGAATGGATGACGAAGCTATGTGAATGGTGCAACATGATAATAGTACCATAGTGTGACACTATTATCATGATAATAGTGTCATAGTGTGACACTATTATCATAATAATAGTGTCATAATAGTGACACGGCTTTCAGCTCTCCCATAGTAGAGTACAAAGTACTCTAAATCGTTCAACACTTTTTCTAAACACACTATGTTTCGAGAATAAAGGTGGTGACGCCCAAGGGGGCGGCTTTCAGCTCTTTCATTATAAAGTACCAAGTACTCTAAATCGTTAAGCACTTTTTCCAAACACAGTGTGTTAGATTTTCTACACACGAACTGCTATGTTAGGTACTAAGTTAGGTACATTTGCGCCAGGGACGGCTTTCCGCTCTCCCATAGTAGAATACCGAGTACTCAAATCGTTAACCTCTTCTTCTAAACACTATGTAGCGGGGCGAAAACATTCAAAGCACGCCCTTCTCGCCATCTCGCGGGTGACAATGAACACGCTTGGTGCTACTAACAGCAAGTTGACACGGATGGGCCCATTCACATTTCAAAACTAGCTGACAATGCTGCTAAATCACTTGGTTACATCAGACGTTCCCTTTCACTGTGTCCCTTAAGTACGCGATAACTAGCTTTTGAAACATTTATCCGAAGTGAAATTAAATGTTCCTCAGCTATCTGGAGTCCTCATCAAGCTTACCTCATGAACTTTTTAGAATCTATACAGCACCAAGCGGCCATATGCATCTCTTCCAGGTACGGCAGCGATGAAAGCATCAGTGTCATAAAGACATCCGCGACTGGAGCCGTTATTGTTCCGTCGGACGATTGCTAGGCTGTGCTGTTCCTTCGGCAATACTGTAACTTTCCTCAACTTTACAGTAAACTCCTTAACTCGCCAAACCGTACATCTCGTCCCCTAATTAATTCGTGCAGCATCCAGTGGTTGTACGGTTCCATGAATTTTATTATTCTTTTTTGTTGTTGTTGTTGATAGCCGTTGCTGAATGGAACATTTTGCCAGACGATGTTGTCATCGAGCGTAACCTCTCTTTGTTTAAGCAGATGCTCACTGATCACCTCACTCTGTAACACATATTATGATCTTACATTATTTCTTTTTTTTTTCTTTTCGCCGAATTTATTATGCCGCGTTCAAATTTTATCTTTCAACAAGTATTTTCGTTTCTCTTAACACCAAGCGTCTTCCTGGAATATGGCTTTATCCACAATAGTCGCTTCTATTTTTCAATCGGCAGCTCATCCTTATATTGATATGTGGGGTTTAACGTCCCAAAACCACATATGATTATGACATACGCCGTAGTGAAGGGCTCCGGAAGGAGACTCGCTCACTGGATTCCGTGCCGACCGGTTGTGCCCTCGCGATCTCCGACGTCAGCGTAGCTCTGGCCGACTGCGCTCGCCCTACGTCATCTCCTGACGCCGACCTTCGACGACAGTGTAGCTATGACCGACTGGACTTGCTACATGCCACCTCCTGGCGCCGACAAGAGCTATCGCAAGTGGTGCCCCGTCCTCGGACTCCTGTGACCACATTTCCATCTTTCCTATCTCTCCTATCCCCTCGATTTGTCGTCGCTCTCTCTGGCTTACCACCTGACTCCTCTTTCTCTCTCTCTACACCTTTATTTCTACCCTTTTAATCCCTCCTCACCCCCATCTCTTGTGAGCTACTGTTGAGGTGTCGCTCGCTGAAGCAGACAGTTACGGGGCTCACTTTTCTCTTCCTTTCTCTCTTAGAACCACTTAGTAAGGCTCCGGAAATTTCGACCACCGGGGGTTCTTTAGCGTGCGCCCAAATCCTCTGTGAAAAGTCACAACGCAGTTTACTTCTTTCGAAGTTTCAGCCATGAGGAAACAGTTTGTTGGTGCGCAGCTTTATACAATCTTGAAGTAAAGGAGCGAGGGTACGTGAAAAAAAAGGGGGGGGGGAAGCAATGAGAAAAGAGGTACACCCCCCTCCCCCGCGGCCACCCCCTTCTCTCTTTTTTTTCCGACGTTCATATTTTCAAGATGTCAGCGGTCTGCATATCCTTCCTTCCACTAACGTATACATATATTGTTCCCGACCATACTGTTTCTACAGTGGCGCGGGTGATCACTGGAGGTATTGTTATCGATCCGTTGGTTTGCGATAGATGGTGGTAGAAAGATTGTCATCTACTATCGTTATGGTA